TTCAATTGCTTCAATTATAATATTTTGATGATGGAAATAATGGAAATAATAGAAACATTAATTTTCAGGATGAGTTGGAATCCCTATTTTGTAAAAGTTTTTTTAAGTGGAAAATTGTTTAAATGCATTAATTATAATCTTTTAATTAAAATATGTAAATATGATAAAATTCATTTTCAGGGGGGGACTCTATTATTTGTAAAAGTTCTTTTTGATGTGGAAAATGTGTTCAAATGCATGAACTATGATCTTTTGATGAAATAATGGAAATAAGATTAAATTCATTTTCAAAGCGGTGGAATCCTTACTTTCGTAAAAGTTGTTTTAAAGTGGAAAATGTGTTCAAATTTTGAATTATAATATTTTGATGATGGAAATAATGGAAATAATAGAAACATGATAAAATTAATTTTCAGGATGAGGTGGAATCCTATTTTGTAAAAGTTGTTTTAAGTGGAAAAGTGTTGAAATGCATTAATTATAATCTTTTAATGAAAATATGTAAATATGATAAAATTCATTTTAGGGGGACTCTATTATTTGTAAAAGTTCTTTTTGATGTGGAAAATGTGTTCAAATGCATGAATTATAGTCATTTGATTAAAATATGGAAATATGATAAAATTCATTTTCAGAATGGTTGGAATCCCTGTTTTTGTAAAAGTTGTTTTTTAAGTGGAAAATGTGTTCAAATGCATGAATTATGGTCTTTTAATGAAATAATGGAAATAAGATTAAATTCATTTTCAAAGCGGTGGAATCCTTACTTTCGTAAAAGTTGTTTTAAAGTGGAAAATGTGTTCAAATTCTTGAATTATAATATTTTGATGATGGAAATAATGAAAATAATGGAAATATGATAAAATTAATTTTTAGGATGAGGTGGAAACCCTACTTTCGTAAAAGTTGTTTTAAAGTGGAAAATGTGTTCAATTGCTTCAATTATAATATTTTGATGATGGAAATAATGGAAATAATAGAAACATTAATTTTCAGGATGAGTTGGAATCCCTATTTTTGTAAAAGTTTTTTTTTAAGTGGAAAATTGTTAAAATGCATTAATTATAATCTTTTAATTAAAATATGTAAATATGATAAAATTCATTTTCAGGGGGGGACTCTATTATTTGTAAAAGTTCTTTTTGATGTGGAAAATGTGTTCAAATGCATGAATTATGGTCTTTTGATGAAATAATGGAAATAAGATTAAATTCATTTTCAAAGCGGTGGAATCCTTACTTTCGTAAAAGTTGTTTTAAAGTGGAAAATGTGTTCAAATTCTTGAATTATAATATTTTGATGATGGAAATAATGGAAATAATAGAAACATGATAAAATTAATTTTTAGGATGAGGTGGAATCCCTATTTTTGTAAAAGTTGTTTTTTCAGTGGAAAATTGTTGAAATGCATTAATTATAATCTTTTAATGAAAATATGTAAATATGATAAAATTCATTTTTAGGGGGGGACTCTATTATTTGTAAAAGTTCTTTTTGATGTGGAAAATGTGTTCATATGCCTGAATTATAGTCTTTTGATTAAAATATGGAAATATGATAAAATTAATTTTCAGAATGGTTGGAATCCTTGTTTTTGTAAAAGTTGTTTTTTAAATGGAAAATGAGTTCAAATGCATGAATAAGTCTTTTGGTGAAATATGGAAATATGATAACATTCAATTTCAGGGGATTGGAATCCCTACTTTCGTACAAGTTGTTTTTAAGTGGAAAATGTGTTTAAATGCTTGAATTATAATATTTTGATGATGGAAATAAGGAAAATAATGGAAATATTATAAAATTAATTTTTAGGATGAGGTGGAATCCCTACTTTCGTAAAAGTTGTTTTAAAGTGGAAAATGTGTTCAAATGCTTCAATTATAATATTTTGATAATGGAAATAATGGAAATAATAGAAACATGATGAAATTAATTTCAGGATGAGATGGAATCCCTATTTTTGTAAAAGTTGTTTTTTAAGTGGAAAATTGTTGAAATGCATTAATTATAATCTTTTAATGAAATTATGTAAATATGATAAAATTCATTTATAGGGGGGGGACTCTATTATTTGTAAAAGTTCTTTTTGATGTGGAAAATGTGTTCAAATGCTTCAATTATAATATTTTGATGATGGAAATAATGGAAATAATAGAAACATTTTAAAATTAATTTTCAGGATGAGGTGGAATCCCTATTTTTGTTAAAGTTGTTTTTAAGTGGAAAATGTGTTGAAATGCATTAATTATAGCTTTATAGTAAAAATATGAAAATATTATAAAACTTATATTCTGGGGCGGGGGGTGGACTTAATTTGTTGTAATAGTTGTTTTTTTAAGTGGAAAATATGTTCAAATGCATGAATTAGTCTTTTGGTGAAAATAGGGAAATATTATAACATTCATTTTCAGGGGATTGGAATCCCTACTTTCGTAAAAGTTGGTTTTAAGTGGAAAATGGGTTTAAATGCTTGAATTATAACATTTTGATAAAATAATGGAAATAAGACTAAATTCATTTTCAAGAGGGGAGGAATCCCTATTTTTATAAAAGTTCTTTTTATTGTGCAAAATGTGTTCAAATGCATGAAGAATTATAGTCTTTTAATAAAAATATGGAAATATGATAAAATTAATTTTCAGAATGGTTGGAATCCCTGTTTTTGTAAAAGTTGTTTTTTAAGTGGAAAATGTGTTGCAATGCATTAATTATAGTTTTATAGTGAAAATATGAAAATATTATAAAACTTATATTCAGGAGGGGGGTGGACTTAACTTTTTGTAAAAGTTGTTTTTTAAGTGGAAAATGTGTTCAAATGCATGAATTAGTCTTTTGATGAAAATGTGGAAATATGATAACATTCATTTTCAGGGGATTGGAATCCCTACTTTCGTAAAAGTTGTTTTAAAGTGGAAAATGTGTTTAAATGCTTGAATTATAACATTTTGATGAAATAATGGAAATAAGACTAAATTCATTTTAAGAGGGAGGAATCCTATTTTATAAAAGTTTTTCTATGTGCAAAATGTGTTCAAATGCATTAATTATAGTCTTTTGATAAAAATATGGAAATGTGATAAAATTCATTTTCACGGGGTTGGAATCCCTACTTTCGTAAAAGTTGTGTTTGTGGTGGAAAATGTGTTCAAATGCATGAATTACAGTCTTTTGGTGAAAAAATATGGAAATTTTATAAAATTCATTTTCAGGGGGGGTGGACGTGATTTTTTTAAAAGTTCTTTTTGATGTGGAAAATGTGTTCAAATGCATGAATTGTAATTTTTTGATGAAATAATGGAAATAAGATTAAATTCATTTTCAAGGGGGTGGAATCCCTTTTTAGTAAAAGTTGTTTTTCTAATTGGAAAATGTGTACAAATGCATGAATTATAGTCTTTTGACAAAAATACGAAAATATTACAAAATTAATTTTCAGGGGGGTGGACTCGATTTTTTTGTCAAGTTCTTTTTGATGTGAAAATGTGTTCAAATGCATAAATTATAGCCTTTTGATGAAAATATGTAAATATGATAAAATTAATTTTCAGGGGGGTGGAATACCTACTTTTGTAAAAGTTGTTTTAAAGTTGAAAATGTGTTCAAAAGCAAGAATTATAGTCTTGGTGAAATAATGGAATATGATGAATTGATTTTCGGGGGGGTGAAGTGAAATTTTTGTAAGAAGTTCTTTTTGATGTGGAAAATGTGTTCTAATGCTTTCGTTCAAGACGAAACGTCAATTTCATTTTGGCTTGGTCAAAGTCAGTTTTTTTATTGTCACATTAATATACATAATTTTCGTCGATAATATGAAAAAACATTTTTAACTAAGCGCTTACGACATCACTACGCACGGTCTCATTATAATATTGAAATCCTCATTACCCAAAGCTGACCACGACACACTTTACGAGAACGGAATCGTAACCTTCAATGCAACAAGCCCCTAGCCAGCATATACTTACTAGAGAAAGCATGGTTTTTACGTATGTAAAAAATTGACGCTCAATATTGCAAAAACATATTGAAAGGAAAGCCGAATAATAAATTATTATGGGAAAACTGAAAATGTTACCGATACATAAGTATTTTTGAAAATCATTGTCCGTTGCCTGACCGTTATTTTGAGCCCTGTTCTTCTTGTTTAATTAACTCAATTATTAACAAGGCATCGTTATCTTAATGCAGTTAAGAGTTAAGGTATGGTTTTCACACATTTCGTATTAGTTTGCACTCAGGCGAATGAGATATTACTCGTTGGAAAAAAACTGACTGCGGTCGAAGCGTGTAACTACGGTTTGATAACAGAAGTTATTCCTCAAGCCGAGTTTGAAAAAGAAATTAACAACAGAATGAAATACATGGCTGCGTTGCCGCCGAAGGTAGCACAAATCTGGACTTTAAAGTTATTGTTTCGTTTCATTTAACCATACAATGCTTCTCTCCATTGCAGTCGCTCTCATTGTCCAAGAAATTATGTCGCTCAGCTTAGCTGGAGAAACTTCACGATGAGAGTATTATAGAGTGCGAACTGATTACTCAAAGATGGGTCTGGGAAGAATGCGCGCAAGCAGTGATGACTTTTTTACAACGCAAATCAAAAATGTAGTTGAAACATTAAGTTGATTCTTGTTGATGAAATGTTCCATGCATTTTCTTTCTGTGTATGTTATTCAGTTTGATAAAAACCATTTTCACCAAAGTGTTAAGCGTACAAAAGCATCTGCGCAAACATCTACTTGATGTCACGTGACAACATGTTAATTAATGACACTTATTTTTAAACAACTGCATCAATTTTCAACAAATGCGCAAGAAAATAAGGTTATCGCGACTAAGAAGTCCGTTACGCCAGCAGTAAACACTGAAGTCTCAATGACTTGAACGATACAGAACGAGTGTTCGAAATTTTCCAGCAAAAGTTTTTTTACTATGTTTTGGAACTTGATTCAAAACGCAATTTTTTTCCTCAAAAGTAAAGATTTTAAAAATCGTGGTTAAATGAACGAGTATGTTTTGTTATTCAACTCAAGTTACGAATGATTTACACCAACAACGCTACAAATTCCGCTGCGTAAAGGTTACAAACGGATCATTGGGGACACAATATCCTATATGTACAATAAATATTTGCACGCGCCATAAGTCTGATCGTAAATATACCTTGATGGTAAATCATTCCTGTAAGCTCGTCCACCATCTTCTTACGATGCCATCCAAAATATCATCGTTGCTGATGTACTTTTGAAACAAATCGCATTCCTCGTGATTTTTATTCTCAAGTTCTTGTATATTACTGTTGACCATCAACGTCTGTTTCTCGAAGGCACTACAATATTAAATATGCTGCTTTACTATTTGCTGACATGGATTTTTTAAAAGTTCAAAACTATAAATGTTTTCATCATCTACGACGTGAACGTCCATGAATAACAATAGAAATTTATTGCATTTTCAAAGGTCCCGTGTCACCTCTCCCTCTAGTTGCTAAGCTTCGCCCACTCCCTCCCTCTCCTTCTGCTTTCTAATAGTGCTCAATCCATCTCCCTTGTAAAAATAGACACACAAATCTTTCTAGAAACTAGTGAAAATCTCGCCAAAAGTGAATTGAGTTCCTTCTCGAAATGTTTGAAAGATAAAAGTTCTGCAACAATTCCGCGTTTCCTTTGCCATGTCGCAGTCGAGTTTCGTGTTGCAAAGAATAACAGACATTACCCGATTTAAAGGAAATTCACCGTAAGAAAAAATGAATTTTTTTTAAAGCATCTCGGTTCTTTTATAAAAACAACAATTATGTTTCACGATACACTTTTTTAAGGCAGGGGGGGGGTAGGGGGGGTAGGGATAGGGAGTAAAGCATTTTGGGGAACTTAGATAAAGCTATTCGTAGTTTTAATTACTTTTCAATCTCACAGTTAATTTTCAACACCTCAGAACATAACGCATCCTCTCAGGTTCAAGAAAAGAAAACATTTAAATCTTTATATAAAGTGATCAATAGGCGTGGATACAACTCAAATACCTAACGATTCAAAATATGACCTTGTGCCCAGGCCTCCGTTTAATATAAACAAGTCACGTGTACCTGTGAATGACCAAAAAAATTTGGTACAGTTAGAGAGCAACATCCAACTGGAGGATGACCCAACTCCACAAACTTCGTTTGAAAAGTTGCCTTTAAAAACACGACGAATATGTAAACTGAAATAAAAATTACATAATGTTGTACTGAAGAGTCACTAGGAGTCACTAAGGAGTCACTAAGACCAATGTTTCCAGTTCTTACCAAACTGGAAACATTGGTCTATAAACAAGAAGAAGCGTTATGAATACGTTCCGCTTTCGCGCATGTATATTTACTTTTCATAATTGGAAAGGTCGTCGTTTAATTAGATTCGTGCTCAGTTACAATTGGTTTTTTCTATGAAATTAGATTGTCCCCCCGCTATCTAATTTGAATTAGAATTTTAGCGAATTGTGAAGTTGTTTCAAAGTAGTTTGCCACCTACTTCGAACTGCTGAGCACAAAGTAATTTTGCTAACTCGCAATGACTGTTCATGCGTCTATTTCCATAATACTATAGTTCATGCGACTTAAACGATCTCATGACACCGTTGAAATAAATGAAATGGTAATCGAGTTCCATCGGTTCTAATCGCTAATAAAGCGCTCGCAAGAAAAATGTTTCGTTTGATCATAGTGTGTGTGTCATCGTGGGGGTAACTTCATATGCTGAAAAGACAGTTAAATTTTCCATGCACCTAACTCCCAAAGACTATAGCTAATGTGTCTATTTCACAAAGACTTTAGTTCATGCACCTAAAGGCTATAAAATCTATATATATGTATATTGTTCGTGCATCTTAACAATATAGTTCATGTACCTAACTCCCAAAGACTATAGTTCACAAACTTAACTTTCAAAGAATATCTTTCACACACCCAACTTCAAAGACTAAACTCCCAAAATTCTTCTTCATGCACCTAAACTCGGAACGACTATAGTTCATACACCTAACTCCCAAAGACTATATTTCACGCACGTAACTCGCAAAGACTATAAGATCATGCGTCTATTTCCCAAAGAGTTTAGTTCATGCAACTAACACCAAAGAAAATAGTTAATGTATCTAATTACCAAAGACTATAGTTCATGCACCTTACTCCGAAGGACTATAGTTCATGAAAGAGCTCCCAAAGACTATAGTTCATGCACCTAACATCCAAAGACTATAGTTAAAGCACTTAAATTCCAAAACTTATATTTCACGCACCTAAATCTCAAAGATTGTTCATGCGTTTATTTCCCACTTATTGAACTCACTTGATTGGTGAATTGTATTTTCCCATGTTTTCAAAAACTTTCTTAAAGGTCGTACATTCCAATTCTTGTTCTTAATTCCAGGATCACATACATATGAACTATTGACCAGACAAAATCATGATATCTAATTACAATGTGACATCACTCTTCACATCCATACCATTAGACATAGCCAAACAACACAACTAGACAAATAAAATCCTAGACTTACTCAACCTTTGCCTCTCCACTGAATTCTTCTTCTAAAACTCATACTATAGACAACTTTCAGCGAATCAATGGGGTCACCACTATACACCTTCCTCGCAAAAGCTGTCGTGCAAAACCTCGAAACACAATCAGTCACCAACAGCACAGATGAAACAGACAGACTATGGAATAGATATAAAGACGATATCTTTGCCATAGTCAAGAAAGCCAAAACTGGACAAATGCTACACACCATAAAAATACTACAAAGAAGATAACCTTCACTAAAGACAAAAACACAACAAGACTAAACAAACAAGTATACGGCATAAATACCCTTACAGACCAAATACTTGATTTCAACCGTAATCATTCCACACAACACAAAATAAGCAACATTCGAACACTTTTCAACAGAATTAACACTCACTGCAGCACAGAAGAAGCCAAAAAACAGAACGCAACTACTTGTTCTCATTTATAAAAACTAGTTACCCTATAGAAACTTTATAGACGAAACTATAAGCAAAATCAGTCAGAACTTTACTACTAACGGACACCTCCCGAAAGCAGACACTGCTATTAGGTCCCTGCCAATACTCTTACTATTAACTTATTTACAACCTCTCATAAGCAGACACCAAAACAATCTTCAAACAATTCTGTAGTGTTTATGGTGTTTCGAAAGTTCACTTTTAGGGTGGTCATGGGAGAAAAATTTACATGAGTTTAATATTTACTGAGGAAATTACCATACACCAGCTATGGTCAAATGGCAATTTTGCACAAATTAACAAATATTCGTGGCAGAGATTGAATTTTTATATTTTCGTTGTTTCAAGAAATTTACATTGTTTTTGCTGGCATACGATAGAACATATTTCGCATACCTTCCTCCTAAACCCACTTTCCGTCATATTTTGCCGTTTAGTGTGCATTTCATAGCCGAATCTTATAACTTAGATATTTCATACAGGGACAATCCTTCACCATTGATAAGTGTCGTCGCTTTTGTGCTCGATAAATCCCGCTTCGAAAAAATATAGATATGACGATATATTTTCGGATATTTTGGGTTTTTGTAGTGTTGTTCGCAATGATTCATAAATAGATCAAATTGAACCTTAGCCGACAATTACCCCGCACGTGTGATTGGGTCAAGATTGTCTGTCTAATACATTGTATACAGAACCATTTAAAAACCGCTATAAAGCTATTAAAACCAACAAAACACAATTAAAAACTATGTATAATAACTATATATATATCGTAACAACGAATATTTTCATATTTTTTCGATATTTTCGGTACATCGATATATCGATATACCGAAAAAACCAATATCGATAAACCGATATTTAAAAAACCCCCGATATTTATCGATAATTCGATATGTCGCAACAGCCTACCTCGCAAGAGCCTTTATCGTCGTAAACATGCTTGGACTCATTCATGTTTTCAGTGGTTGACGAGTCCTCATCCAAAACTCTCGAGCGTATGCTAGGTGCTTCAACTACGTTCAATTTCATCAAGCTATCTTCAACCTGGCGTCGTTGTTTCTCTTCTGCCATGCTTGATTTTGTTTCAATGTTGGAAGTTTCATTTTCAAGCAGTTCTTCTACCTCGATCTACGAATTATAATATCTGTCATAAATATTAAAGCAGTTTGTTTATGTAGAAAATATGCAGACACAAAGTTATGAAGAGAAATAAAACATCTTTAACATTGTCACGGATATTACGAGGGGCATAACAAAGTGTTGATGAGTTTGACTAATTCTACGTTTATAAGAAACTTTTAAACAATTCTAACCCTAACCTTAACACTTACACTAACCATAATCTAACCCTGACCTAATCCATACCCTAACCATTGAACCAATGTATGAACTGTAGTCAATTGTAGTCACATTATAAAGCCTACTTCCTATTGTTTTTTGGAGTTCAATGTGCATTCTAATCTTTCGTTTCAAATCCGCATTCTATTCTTGTAATCTTGTAGCCCATATTCTTGCAAGCATTTCTCAAATGGATATTCACAAATGGAGACTCGACAAGATATGTTAATTTTTTTTCACCAAACAAAAAAATTTGTCACAGTCTGTTACGGGTCTTGCAGCTGACATATGAAATGTTTGTAAGTGTGGCAGGAAAATTACATTTATATAGCTACTCTTTGTTTTGCTATGTTAAGCATCACACAATAACAAGAAAACGAATGAGGAATTGGTCACACTTACCACTAAAAACAGTAAAATTCTAGAGCTCCAGTACGAATAGCAAATGACTGTCAAAACGAGGGACGATCTTGGCCCACTGCGATAATATTTTACCAAATGAAGGGGAATTCCACAAAACATGTCCATTTGGACATATTATACAAGTGCACATGTGTCAACTAACCCTGGTTTAACCAAGGTTTGCGTTAAATACGACGCTTTATATTTTTCATCGCTGTAGTATGAACTACTTTGTTGATAAATATATAGTAATTCTGCGAGTAAAATATCTTTACCTTCCTCTGCACAACAAAGTTTTTCTTGTATCAACGCACACAGCCTCCTACTAGCTCAAGAAACAAGCCAAAATATGAAAGAGAAGCGATCTCGTTTGAGTGAAAACTTGATGGTAAAAAGTTGAAAAGTTGCTGATGGTTATCGCCATAAATTACCAATGGAAGAATTTACCACCACGATAAAATCAATATTACCACCACTGATAAAGTATTAGTGACCAATGCCGCCAGCTTGCCAGTGACCAGTGGCATGTACGCGTACCTATTTTTCTATAATTGCGACGCATCATGGGATTTACATTCAAATTTATTTTTGTGAGTAAATTCATTTTATCTTTACCATAAAAATGTTGTTTTACTTCAAAATCTTCGCTTGTCAGACTTCGTGAGATGACTAAATCTCGCAAGCGTTCGATCACGGCCATGACCGATTTTTCACCGAGTACTTTGTTGTCACGTGTTCTGACGTTGACCGTGTCTGAGACCGTCTCTTTTCACCAACAACTGTTTAAAAACAACATAAAACCATTTAACCAATCGCATTTAGTAATAAAATGAACATCTATTTTGCTTTTAAAATAGACAACACTTAAAAAGACAATGAACACAAAACAAACAAACAAAAACACAAACAACAAACAATCCAACAACAGCAAACGATAATACCTTACATTTTACAACTCGCACATCAACTGACTACCAAGAACAACGAGTACTGACAAGTGAGCATCACAATGCACAACATTACAAACAGCACTGACTATAGACAACGACTTACGTTAGAAAGTAGGTTAACAAACTCAAAACAAAAATCATTGAACAGAATACAAATATCAGCACCTTATAAACGGCTTACAAGCGAACAATTAATAAGTATACCACACAAACTAAAACATCCACATATTTTCCTCTCTGTCATGACGTCTAGAGAACAAATACGGCGAACCTGACTAATGTTGTGGAAACGTCAGTAAACTCTGAACACCAACAGTGGTTCCAAACCATTTTAATTTCTATTTATTTGTACAGTAAATAAAAATAATTTAAAAGACTTATTCATACCAAGAACGAAGTTGTACTGTGAAAGTTGTGCATTGCGAACTTTCTTATTTAGTGTTGATCCGTGATCCAAGTCTGTATCAACACGATAACCAGCTGCATGGAACTTCTTTGAATCTAAACATGACCAAAATGTCAATAAAAAAAGGACAAAAATTCCAATTCATAAAATAGCAACAATTTGTCCATAGCTGAGTTTGCATTAGCCTGTGCAAGTTCGATCTAAGGCTTACCAAATTAAATTTACCGGTTCGGCATAATCATCATATTTACTACTGACAGGAATTACTACAACTTGATGGGGAGAAAGCCATAAAATCCTAGAAAATAACAGAAAATGCAGTGCGTCAAAATTTTGAAATAAAGTAAAGTAGAGTAAAAATGATAAAAAATTTCCAAACAATTAAGAAACTTTGTATCATTTTAATTTAACATTTAAGGACATTTCATTTGCTTTAAGCTCTGGCATGAGCCAAGAAAACACTCACCATTTTCCACCAAAGCTTTCAGCAAGAATAGCAATCATTTTTTCAACTGAACCTACAATAGCTCGATGAATAATAACAGGATGTAATTTTCTAAATCCTTCACCACTGTCAATAGAGTAATAGAATATTGATAAATTACTAAATTGTTACAATTTGTAAAGATCTACAATTTCATGGAAACTTAAACTGTGCCGTAATCCTCTGACTATAATACACAGGCTTACATATGTTTGTGAGCCATTATCAATGATATTTACATGGGGGGGATGGATGCACAGGGATACATGCATGGACTATTAACTATTATATTGCAATTATCTGTTAACATTGCAATATTAAATGTAACTATATACTTATATGCGGGTGGGTTTGTTTGCGGGCGAGTTTGAATGCAGGTGGGACTTTCAGTGTTCAGCAATGTAGCAGGCTGCATATAAGTATATAGTATATATAAGCATATAAATATATAACAATAGGTTTCTATAGAAACAAATAATCATGTCACTGTTGGTTAAATAAATTAAGTATCAAGACCGTAGTGAGGTTATTCAACGAAAAGCTTACTGGCAAAACTTACCTAGCGTGAGGTTGAATCTCTCAGGAAGTTGGAAATCCAGTTCAATTGTTGCACATTGATGAGACCATCTCATAGCATCAAAATTTTTATATTAATCTATAAATTGTGATAGCAATGAAATTATAAATTCACAATGGTATACATCTGTAAACATAGAAAGCTTCATCCCCATCCCCAGGATTTATCTGCCGTTTTGACCAAAATTATTCAAAGCTTCCATCAGTTTCTAATGAAGCATAAAACAAACTCATTTAGTTAAACAATTAAAAATATTATCAATCATTAAACATTTTCGATATTTATGACAAGACAGCTAAAAAACATTGTAAAGACTGCATTTATGTTCGCTGTGAACAAATTTCCTCCCTTTTGGGAGGTAAACAAACCAATCTGTATGTCAAATCAACAAATGAAAACATTCTATATTTTATTTCATTCTTGAATAACTGTTTATATCTTTGATATCCATAAAGAGGAATTGCACACGATGAAACAAATGTAACTTGATTAAATAGTTCATTGGTTTCAACCATTGAGTTGTAATGTTTGAAATGTTCAAGGTTAGAAGCCATCTTGATTTCAGCAAGCGGAGACTGAAACGAGTTAATATTTTAGTTGCAATATTAACAAATACTAAATAAAATCAATTACAAGAAAACAAAAACAATGATGAACCAAAATTGTTAAAGAACATATTTTAAGTAAAAACGACTCATGCAAGGTAACTCAAATGTTCAACTTATGATGGTGAAAATATAAAAAAAACATGGAGATAAAATAAAGCATGACAATCAATAGATCTTCACTTAGGTAATAATAGCTACAGATTCAAATTTATAAACAGTGTGTGAAGCACTGACTAAAACATTTTGGCAATCAAATGCACTTGAAAGCCCTGGCAGGTTAGCTAAAACCCCTCGGTGCTACAAGTCTTGTGACTTTTACTACAAAATCTCCCTCGGCTTTCAAGTACATTTAATCACTAAGTTACCTCACTACCGTGCATCGTTTTACTTATAAAAATATTGCACACGCTAGCTAAAATGTAGATCCCATTAACTACATACATGTATGGTCTTATATGAGCCAGTTTTAAATACTCAAAGAATATTTAGGCAATCAGAGAGTAAAATATTTTTACCTTACTCTGAACAAAACAGTTTTTCTTGTGAGTCTTTTTATCGCAGGGATACGTCGGTATAAAATTCTTATCACCAAAATGTTTCAAATTCCAAATTGGTGAAGTGTTGACTGTGTAGTAAGCTGGTCGATACAACTCATACGCAACGCATCGATTTGCTGTTTAAAATCATGATAGAACTCATGCAGATAGATTGGTTTCACATAGCCAGAATAACAACCAATAACTGTTAGCTTCCAGAGCAATTCAGTGAATTCACCACAAATGTCAGTCTGCTACGTGAAGATAGTTCTCTTGCATATGCCTCAAGTCTTTTTTTACGCTTCCGAATTGCATCCTTGAACGCCTTATTTTATACAGTTCAGCCAACATTTACCTATTCTTGCCATAAAATGATTAAGTGTGCTCCAAGTTGACTGAAAATAAAATTGTTCAGCATACGCCATTTTGAAAGCATGTCTATAATTATCCACTATCATCCATTGTAACCACTATCAACATCCTAATGTCATTGGTCAAAAATAGTCACATTTTTATTTACTTTTGCCTTTCATTCATGTCATTTCTAGATATGAATTTTCTTATTCGTCCATAGTTCAATCAATAATAAAAAAATATTTATTGTAAATTTTATTATAGCAAATGAACGTGACGCCAAGAGTTTGTAAATTACATGCAATTTTTCGTCGTGGTATAGTGAACTATCTATCTCGACCTTATTTAAACCTGAACATTTTTACGAAGATGGTTCGAAAGTTCCCTGCAATCTCCCACCAGTTTAAAGAAGCAAAAGACAAAGTAGGATCTTTAATTCAAGATCCAGGGAATGAATTGAAGTTAAAGATGTACGCCCTTTTTAAGCAGGTATTTTACGAATCATAAAGATATTGTATCCGGTTTTTACATAAAGCTTGACCATTAGTTGTTGTATCTCCTACCTACAAGCTCTTCAATTAAATGGTGACTTTACATTTTTGGTGCACGATGTGCATCATTGCAGTTGAATCACATATTTGCAAAGGCACAGTCAATTTTTTTCAATTCTAACTGTTCACAGTCCCACCATACAATACAATCAAAGTTGAAAATAAGACGAACCTAAATAACAATAATCATTTCCAGGGTTCTTTAGGCAAATGTAATACACCAAAGCCTGGGACTTTGGACTTTGTTGGAAAGGCAAAATGGAATGCATGGAACGATTTGAGTGATTTATCACAGGTGAACAAATGCATGAATTATAGTCTTGGTAAAATAATGGAACTAAGATTAAATTCATTTCAGGGGGGGGGTGGAATCCCTATTTCTATAAAAGTTCTTTTTGTTGTGGAAAATGTGTTCAAATGCATGAATTATAGTCTTTTGGTGAAAGTATGGAAATATTATAAAACACATTTTCAGGGGTGGACTCGATTATTTTGTCAAAGTTCTTTTTGATGTGGAAAATGTGTTCAAATACATGAATTATAGTCTTTTGGTGAAATTATGGAAATATTATAAAATTCATTTTCAGGGGGGGTGGAATCCTCATTTTTCTAAAAGTTGTTTTTTAAGTGGAAAATGTGTTGGAATGCATTAATTATAGTGTTTTCGTGAAAGGTCAATTTCATTTTGGCTTGGTCAAAGTCAGTTTTTGTATCGTCACATTAATATACATAATTTTCGTCGATAATATGAAAAACATTTTTAACTAAAGCTTCGACATCACTACGCACGGTCTCATTATAATATTGAAATCCTCATTACCCAAAGCTGACCACGACACACTTTACGAGAACGGAATCGTAACCTTCAATGCAACAAGCCCCTAGCCAGCATATACTTACTAGAGAAAGCATGGTTTTTACGTATGTAAAAAATTGACGCTCAATATTGCAAAACATATTGAAAGGAAAGCCGAATAATAAATTATTATGGGAAAACTGAAAATGTTACCGATACATAGGTATTTTTGAAAATCATTGTCCGTTGCCTGGCCGTTATTTTGAGCCCTGTTCTTTTTGCTTAGTTAACTCAATTTTTAACAAGGTATTGTTATCTTAATGCAGTTAAGAGGTAAGGTATGATTGTCACACATTTCTTATTAATTTGCACTCAGGCGAATGAGATGTTACTCGTTGGAAAAGAAACTGACTGCGGTCGAAGCTTGTAACTACGGTTTGGTAACAGAAGTTATTCCTCAAGCCGAAATTGAAAAGAAATTAACAACAGAATGAAATACATGGCTGCGTTGCCGCCGAAGGTAGCACAAATCTGGACTTTACCGTTATTGCTTCGTTTCATTTAACCATACAATGCTTCTCTCCATTGCAGTCGCTCTCATTGTCCAAGAAATTATGTTGCTCAGTTGAGCTGGAGAAACTTCACGATGTGAATAATAAAGAATGCGAAGTGCTTGCTCAAAATGGCTCTCGGAGGAATGCGCGCAAGCAGTGATGACTTTTACAACGCAAATCAAAATGTAGTTGAAACATTAAGTTGATTCTTGTTTATGAAATGTTCGATGCATTTTCTTTCTGTGTATGTTATTCAGTTTGATAAAAACCATTTCCACCAAAGTGTTAAGCGTACAAAAGCATCTGCGCAAACATCTACTTGATGTCACGTGACAACATGTTAATTAATGACACTTATTTTTAAACAACTGCATCAATTTTCAACAAATGCGCAAGAAAATAAGGTTATCGCGACTAAGAAGTCCGTTACGCCAGCAGTAAACACTGAAGTCTCAATGACTTGAACGATACAGAACGAGTGTTCGAAATTTTCCAGCAAAAGTTTTTGCTATGTTTTGGAACTTGATTCAAAACGCAATTTTTCCTCAAAGTAAAGATTTTAAAATCGTGGTTAAATGAACGAATATGTTTTGTTATTCAACTCAAGTTACGAATGATTTACACCAACAACGCTACAAATTCCGCTGCGTAAAGGTTACAAACGGATCATTGGGGGACACAATATCCTATATGTACAACAAATATTTGCACGCGCTATAAGTCCGATCGCAAGTATACCTGGATGGTAAGCCATTCCTGTAAGCTCGTCCACCATCTTCTTACGATGCCATGTTGCTGATGTACTTTTGAAACAAATCGCGTTCCTCGTGATTTTTATCCTCAAGTTCTTGTATATTACCGTTGACCATCAACGTCTGTTTCTCGAAGGCACTACAATATTAAATATGCTGCTTTACTATTTGCTGACATGGGATTTTTTCAAAGTTCGAAACTGTAAATGTTTTCATCATCTTCGACGTGAACGTCCATGAATAACAATAGAAATCTATTGCATTTTCAAAGGTCCCGTGTCCTCTCTCTAGTTGCTAAGCTCCGTCCACCCCCTTCCTCTCCTTTCCAATAGTGCCCAATCTCTCTCCCTCGTAAAAATAGACACACAAACCTGTCTAGAAACTAGTGAAGATCTCGCCAAAAGTGAATTGAGCTCCTCCTCGAAATGTTTGAAAGATAAAATTTCTGCGACAATTCCGCGTTCCTTTGCCATGTCGCAGTCGAGTTTCGTGTTGCATAGAATAACAGACATTGCCTGATTTAAAGGAAATTCACCGTAAGACAAAATGAATTTTTTTTAAAGCATCTCGGTTCTTTTATAAAAACAACAATTATGTTTCACGATACACTTTTTAAGGCGGTAGGGGTAGGGATAGGGAGTAAAGCATTTTGGGGAACTTAGATAAAGCTATTCGTAGTTTTAATTACTTTTCAATCTCACAGTTAATTTTCAACACCTCAGAACATAACACATCCTCTCAGGTTCAAGAAAAGAAAACATTTTAATGTTTATATAAAGTGATCAATAGGCGTGGATACAACTCAAATACATAACATGGCAAAATATGACCTAGTGCCCAGGCCTCCGTTTAATATAAACAAGTCACGTGTACCTGTGAATGACCAAATAAATTAGGTACAGTTAGAGAGCAACATCCAACTGGAGGATGACCCAACTCCACAAACTTCGTTTGAAAAGTTGCCTTTAAAAAACACGACGAATATGTCAACTGAAATAAAAATTACGTAATGTTGTACTGAGGAGTCACTAGGAGTCACTAACGAGTCACTAAGATCAGTTCTTACCAAACTGGAAACATTGGTCTATAAACAAGAAGAAGCGTTATGAATACGTTCCGCTTTCGCGCATGTATATTTACTTTTCATAATTGGAAAGGTCGTCGTTTAATTAGATTCGTGCTCAGTTACAATTGGTTTTTCTATGAAATTAGATTGTCCCCGCTATCTAATTTGAATTAGAATTTTAGCAAATTGTGAAGTTGTTTCAAAGTAGTTTGCCACCTACTTCGAACTGCTGAGCACAAAGTAATTTTGCTAACTCGCAATGACTGTTCATGCGTCTATTTCTATAATACTATAGTTCATGCGACTTAAACGATCTCATGACACCGTTGAAATAAATGAAATGGTAATCGAGTTCCATCGGTTCTAATCGCTAATAAAGCGCTCGCAAGAAAAATGTTTCGTTTGATCATAGTGTGTGTGTGTCATCGTGGGGTAACTTCATATGCTGAAAAGACAGTTAAATTTTCCATGCACCTAACTCCCAAAGACTATAGCTAAATGTGTCTATTTCACAAAGACTTTAGTTCATGCACCTAAAGGCTATAAAATCTATATATATGTATATTGTTCGTGCATCTTAACAATATAGTTCATGTACCTAACTCCCAAAGACTATAGTTCACAAACTTAACTTTCAAAGAATATCTTTCACACACCCAACTTCAAAGACTAAACTCCCAAAATTCTTCTTCATGCACCTAAACTCGGAACGACTATAGTTCATACACCTAACTCCCAAAGACTATATTTCACGCACGTAACTCGCAAAGACTATAAGATCATGCGTCTATTTCCCAAAGAGTTTAGTTCATGCAACTAACACCAAAGAAAATAGTTAATGTATCTAATTACCAAAGACTATAGTTCATGCACCTTACTCCGAAGGACTATAGTTCATGAAAGAGCTCCCAAAGACTATAGTTCATGCACCTAACATCCAAAGACTATAGTTAAAGCACTTAAATTCCAAAACTTATATTTCACGCACCTAAATCTCAAAGATTGTTCATGCGTTTATTTCCCACTTATTGAACTCACTTGATTGGTGAATTGTATTTTCCCATGTTTTCAAAAACTTTCTTAAAGGTCTTACATTCCAATTCTTGTTCTTAATTCCAGGATCACATACATATCAACTATTGACCAGACAAAATCATGATATCTAATTACAATGTGACATCACTCTTCACATCCATACCATTAGACATAGCCAAACAACACAACTAGACAAATAAAATCCTAGACTTACTCAACCTTTGCCTCTCCACTGAATTCTTCTTCTAAAACTCATACTATAGACAACTTTCAGCGAATCAATGGGGTCACCACTATACACCTTCCTCGCAAAAGCTGTCGTGCAAAACCTCGAAACACAATCAGTCACCAACAGCACAGATGAAACAGACAGACTATGGAATAGATATAAAGACGATATCTTTGCCATAGTCAAGAAAGCAAAACTGGACAAATGCTACACACCATAAAAATACTACAAAGAAGATAACCTTCACTAAAGACAAAAACACAACAAGACTAAACAAACAATTATACGGCATAAATACCCTTACAGACCAAATACTTGATTTCAACCGTAATCATTCCACACAACACAAAATAAGCAACATTCGAACACTTTTCAACAGAATTAACACTCACTGCAGCACAGAAGAAGCCAAAAAACAGAACGCAACTACTTGTTCTCATTTATAAAAACTAGTTACCCTATAGAAACTTTATAGACGAAACTATAAGCAAAATCAGTCAGAACTTTACTACTAACGGACACCTCCCGAAAGCAGACACTGCTATTAGGTCCCTGCCAATACTCTTACTATTAACTTATTTACAACCTCTCATAAGCAGACACCAAAACAATCTTCAAACAATTCTGTAGTGTTTATGGTGTTTCGAAAGTTCACTTTTAGAGGTGGTCATGGGAGAAAAAATTTACATGAGTTTAATATTTACTGAGGAAATTACCATACACCAGCTATGGTCAAATGGCAATTTTGCACAAATTAACAAATATTCGTGGCAGAGATTGAATTTTTATATTTTCGTTGTTTCAAGAAATTTACATTGTTTTTGCTGGCATACGATAGAACATATTTCGCACACCTTCCTCCTAAACCCACTTTCCGTCATATTTTGCCGTTTAGTGTGCATTTCATAGCCGAATCTTATAACTTAGATATTTCATACAGGGACAATCCTTCACCATTGATAAGTGTCGTCGCTTTTGTGCTCGATAAATCCCGCTTCGAAAAAAATATAGATATGACGATATATTTTCGGATATTTTGGGGGTTTTTTTGTAGTGTTGTTCGCAATGATTCATAAATAGATCAAATTGAACCTTAGCCGACAATTACCCCGCACGTGTGATTGGGTCAAGATTGTCTGTCTAATACATTGTATACAGAACCATTTAAAAACCGCTATAAAGCTATTAAAACCAACAAAACACAATTAAAAACTATGTATAATAACTATATATATATCGTAACAACGAATATTTTCATATTTTTTCGATATTTTCGGTACATCGATATATCGATATACCGAAAAAACCAATATCGATAAACCGATATTTAAAAAACCCCCGATATTTATCGATAATTCGATATGTCGCAACAGCCTACCTCGCAAGAGCCTTTATCGTCGTAAACATGCTTGGACTCATTCATGTTTTCAGTGGTTGACGAGTCCTCATCCAAAACTCTCGAGCGTATGCTAGGTGCTTCAACTACGTTCAATTTCATCAAGCTATCTTCAACCTGGCGTCGTTGTTTCTCTTCTGCCATGCTTGATTTTGTTTCAATGTTGGAAGTTTCATTTTCAAGCAGTTCTTCTACCTCGATCTACGAATTATAATATCTGTCATAAATATTAAAGCAGTTTGTTTATGTAGAAAATATGCAGACACAAAGTTATGAAGAGAAATAAAACATCTTTAACATTGTCACGGATATTACGAGGGGCATAACAAAGTGTTGATGAGTTTGACTAATTCTACGTTTATAAGAAACTTTTAAACAATTCTAACCCTAACCTTAACACTTACACTAACCATAATCTAACCCTGACCTAATCCATACCTAACCATTGAACCAATGTATGAACTGTAGTCAATTGTAGTCACATTATAAAGCCTACTTCCTATTGTTTTTGGAGTTCAATGTGCATTCTAATCTTTCGTTTCAAATCCGCATTCTATTCTTGTAATCTTGTAGCCCATATTCTTGCAAGCATTTCTCAAATGGATATTCACAAATGGAGACTCGACAAGATATGTTAATTTTTTCACCAAACAAAAATTTGTCACAGTCTGTTACGGGTCTTGCAGCTGACATATGAAATGTTTGTAAGTGTGGCAGGAAAATTACATTTATATAGCTACTCTTTGTTTTGCTATGTTAAGCATCACACAATAACAAGAAAACGAATGAGGAATTGGTCACATTTACCACTAAAACAGTAAAATTCTAGAGCTCCAGTACGAATAGCAAATGACTGTCAAAACGAGGGACGATCTTGGTCCACTGCGATAATATTTTACCAAATGAAGGGAATTCCACAAAACATGTCCATTTGGACATATTATACAAGTGCACATGTGTCAACTAACCCTGGTTTAACCAAGGTTTGCGTTAAATACGACGCTTTATATTTTTCATCGCTGTAGTATGAACTACTTTGTTGATAAATATATAGTAATTCTGCGAGTAAAATATCTTTACCTTCCTCTGCACAACAAAGTTTTTCTTGTATCAACGCACACAGCCTCCTACTAGCTCAAGAAACAAGCCAAAATATGAAAGAGAAGCGATCTCGTTTGAGTGAAAACTTGATGGTAAAAGTTGAAAAGTTGCTGATGGTTATCGCCATAAATTACCAATGGAAGAATTTACCACCACGATAAAATCAATATTACCACCACTGATAAAGTATTAGTGACCAATGCCGCCAGTTTGCCAGTGACCAGTGGCATGTACGCGTACCTATTTTTCTATAATTGCGACGCATCATGGGATTTACATTCAAATTTATTTTTGTGAGTAAATTCATTTTATCTTTACCATAAAATGTTGTTTTACTTCAAAATCTTCGCTTGTCAGACTTCGTGAGATGACTAAATCTCGCAAGCGTTCGATCACGGCCATGACCGATTTTTCACCGAGTACTTTGTTGTCACGTGTTCTGACGTTGACCGTGTCTGAGACCGTCTCTTTTCACCAACAACTGTTTAAAAACAACATAAAACCATTTAACCAATCGCATTTAGTAATAAAATGAACATCTATTTTGCTTTTAAAATAGACAACACTTAAAAAGACAATGAACACAAAACAAACAAACAAAACACAAACAACAAACAATCCAACAACAGCAAACGATAATACCTTACATTTTACAACTCGCACATCAACTGACTACCAAGAACAACGAGTACTGACAAGTGAGCATCACAATGCACAACATTACAAACAGCACTGACTATAGACAACGACTTACGTTAGAAAGTAGGTTAACAAACTCAAAACAAAAATCATTGAACAGAATACAAATATCAGCACCTTATAAACGGCTTACAAGCGAACAATTAATAAGTATACCACACAAACTAAAACATCCACATATTTTCCTCTCTGTCATGACGTCTAGAGAACAAATACGGCGAACCTGACTAATGTTGTGGAAACGTCAGTAAACTCTGAACACCAACAGTGGTTCCAAACCATTTTAATTTCTATTTATTTGTACAGTAAATAAAAATAATTTAAAAGACTTATTCATACCAAGAATGAAGTTGTACTGTGAAAGTTGTGCATTGCGAACTTTCTTATTTAGTGTTGATCCGTGATCCAAGTCTGTATCAACACGATAACCAGCTGCATGGAACTTCTTTTGAATCTAAACATGACCAAAATGTCAATAAAAAAAAAAGGACAAAAAAATTCCAATTCATAAAATAGCAACAATTTGTCCATAGCTGAGTTTGCATTAGCCTGTGCAAGTTCGATCTAAGGCTTACCAAATTAAATTTACCGGTTCGGCATAATCATCATATTTACTACTGACAGGAATTACTACAACTTGATGGGGAGAAAGCCATAAAATCCTAGAAAATAACAGAAAATGCAGTGCGTCAAAATTTTGAAATAAAGTAAAGTAGAGTAAAAATGATAAAAAATTTCCAAACAATTAAGAAACTTTGTATCATTTTAATTTAACATTTAAGGACATTTCATTTGCTTTAAGCTCTGGCATGAGCCAAGAAAACACTCACCATTTTCCACCAAAGCTTTCAGCAAGAATAGCAATCATTTTTTCAACTGAACCTACAATAGCTCGATGAATAATAACAGGATGTATTATTCATCGAACTATTGTGATGTCACTGTTGGTTGAATAAATTAAGTATCAAGACCGTAGTGAGGTTATTCAACGAAAAGCTTACTGGCAAAACTTACCTAGCGTGAGGTTGAATCTCTCAGGAAGTTGGAAATCCAGTTCAATTGTTGCACATTGATGAGACCATCTCATAGCATCAAAAATTTTTATATTAATCTATAAATTGTGATAGCAATGAAATTATAAATTCACAATGGTATACATCTGTAAACATAGAAAGCTTCATCCCCCATATGATGGTGAAAATATAAAAAAAACATGGAGATAAAATAAAGCATGACAATCAATAGATCTTCACTTAGGTAATAATAGCTGCAGATCCAAATTTATAAACAGTGTGTGAAGCACTGACTAAAACATTTTGGCAATCAAATGCACTTGAAAGCCCTGGCAGGTTAGCTAAAGTCCCTCGGTGCTACAAGTCTTGTGACTTTTACTACAAAATCTCCCTCGGCTTTCAAGTACATTTAATCACTAAGTTACCTCACTACCGTGCATCGTTTTACTTATAAAAATATTGCACACGCTAGCTAAAATGTAGATCCCATTAACTACATACATGTATGGTCTTATATGAGCCAGTTTTAAATACTCAAAGAATATTTAGGCAATCAGAGAGTAAAATATTTTACCTTACTCTGAACAAAACAGTTTTTCTTGTGAGTCTTTTTATCGCAGGGATACGTCGGTATAAAATTCTTATCACCAAAATGTTTCAAATTCCAAATTGGTGAAGTGTTGACTGTGTAGTAAGCTGGTCGATACAACTCATACGCAACGCATCGATTTGCTGTTTAAAATCATGATAGAACTCATGCAGATAGATTGGTTTCACATAGCCAGAATAACAACCAATAACTGTTAGCTTCCAGAGCAATTCAGTGAATTCACCACAAATGTCAGTCTGCTACGTGAAGATAGTTCTCTTGCATATGCCTCAAGTCTTTTTTTACGCTTCCGAATTGCATCCTTGAACGCCTTATTTTATACAGTTGAGCCAACATTTACCTATTCTTGCCATAAAATGATTAAGTGTGCTCCAAGTTGACTGAAAATAAAATTGTTCAGCATACGCCATTTTGAAAGCATGTCTATAATTATCCACTATCATCCATTGTAACCACTATCAACATCCTAATGTCATTGGTCAAAAATAGTCACATTTTTATTTACTTTTGCCTTTCATTCATGTCATTTCTAGATATGAATTTTCTTATTCGTCCATAGTTCAATCAATAATAAAAAAATATTTATTGTAAATTTTATTATAGCAAATGAACGTGACGCCAAGAGTTTGTAAATTACATGCAATTTTTCGTCGTGGTATAGTGAACTATCTATCTCGACCTTATTTAAACCTGAACATTTTACGAAGATGGTTCGAAAGTTCCCTGCAATCTCCCACCAGTTTAAAGAAGCAAAGACAAAGTAGGATCTTTAATTCAAGATCCAGGGAATGAATTGAAGTTAAAGATGTACGCCCTTTTAAGCAGGTATTTTACGAATCATAAAGATATTGTATCCGGTTTTACATAAAGCTTGACCATTAGTTGTTGTATCTCCTACCTACAAGCTCTTCAATTAAATGGTGACTACATTTTTGGTGCACGATGTGCATCATTGCAGTTGAATCACATATTTGCAAAGGCACAGTCAATTTTTTTCAATTCTAACTATAGAGCTCAATGATCTCGACCTTATTTAAACCCATTGAACTCTACAACAACTGGAAGGCTAACTTGGACGCCATCTTTGAAGCCTGCACGAGCGCCGCCATTGAAGGTACGGAGGCGAAATACATCACTTCGAAATTGCCGAATTTTTTGCAAAAAACAGTGGTCTTCAAGCCAGCTTAATGTCTAAAAATCTTAAACAATGTTTGGAGATTGTTTTTTATAATTTATTGTACGAACATTTTTACTTGCTAAAACTTACATATTACTTGAAGTCGTTTGAGAAGTTCCTTTCTCTTAAATTTATTCTTAAGTTTATCATACATTACATTACAGATGTAAATTTTTTTTTGGGTCTAAGGACATGAGAGTAGAAAACATTGAGGTGTAAAATAATCTCTAAACACGAAAGAAGATGCCGCTACTATACTGGGGAAATGCCAGTAAATTTGATGATCAATTTTCACATGTTTTATACTTGTTGCGAGGTATGTCATTTTGTACGTTTTATGTAAATTTTCGTGAATTAAAAATACTGTGAAAAGTCCCAAATGGATTGCCAGCTGATGAAAAAATCATTTTACACCTTAATGATTTCTTCCTCTAAATTGTTTTCATCAGTTACCATGTTGGGGCAAAATTCCATACAGTGAAAAGAATTTCTGCTAATTTTATGCTTTGCTGAGCTTCGACACTCTCATGTACTCTCCCAACATGGCTTATATGACGTCAAAAGAAAACACACTATAGCTACGGTTGAATGAAAACAGCCCCAAACATCATTAAATATTTGTTAAAATTGCGTATATATTATTACGAAACAGCGATTTTGTGCACGTTATGATGACAAATTTCCATATTGCATTGAAAAGCGTATTTCGAAAAACATTTATCAAACGCTGACACTTGCTGGCATGGTGACCATGTTTAATTTAAATACATATGCATATTTTAAGCTGACAGTCGTTTCAAAACTACCGATGGATGTTATTTATTCATCACGGCATAAATGCTTTTCAAACAACTTTATTATTCTAAAATCATTACTTAATAGAAATTTGTACAACATTATTCCAAAATAGGTGGCAGGAGCCTACTTTGAAATACTTTACCACAAAATTCGTTTTCTAAGTCAGAGAGCGAGGGAACTCTCTGACTTAGTAAGAATACGCCGAATTCAACAGAGTATATATGCTCTCTCAAAATCCAAGATTTCTTAAAAATCTAAAAGATAGCCAAAGAACAAATTAGCGATACAATAAAAACAAACACATAAACCTGAAAAAAGACTGAAGTCACTAAGCTACAAGTCAGTGAAACAAATAAAAAAATTTTTATACCTCATCTTGTTCTCCATCAGCATGCTTCCCGTCTCTCCGTCAGCATCCTCTTCGTCGCTCCATCAGCATCCTCTTCGTCGCTCCATCAGCATCCTCTTCGTTGCTACATCAGCATCCACCTCGTAACGCCATCAGCATCCTCCTCGTAGCACCATCAGCATCCTCCTCGTAGCACCATCAGCATCCTCCTCGTAGCACCATCAGCATCCTCCTCGTAGCGCCATCAGCATCCTCCTCGTAGCGCCATCAGCATCCTCCTCGTAGGACCATCAGCATCCTCCTCGCAGGACCATCAGCATCCTCCTCGCAGGACCATCAGCATCCTCCTCGCAGGACCATCAGCATCCTCTTCGTAGCACCATCAGCATCCTCCTCGTAGCTCCGTCAGCATCTTCCTCGTCTCTCCGTCAGCATCCTCTTCTTTTCATCAGCCTCCTCCTCATCTAAACGAAAATCTAAAACAAGTTAAGATTAGGACAGGAAAAATAATAACGTACTCCTCTATCTTCTTCTTGATCTTCATCTCTTGTACCTAAAAAGACTGAAGAAGAAGTTATTTGTTTGATGGAAACAAACAATTGTAAGCACCCACCACTGCCAGAGTTCGCGTTCTTTCACTGTCCGTACGCTCGACATGTCTATAAAATGCAACAACAATATCATGGCAAGTGATTATGGAGATCGTGCTTTCGCATTGTAATAGTTTTATCATGCTAAAACATTTATATCCATGACTGTACATGATTGAACATGTATGTTAAGTGAACAACTCTTTGAAGATTATAAGACTCGCGGAAAGCTTATCGTTTGAACCGTGCATTGTGTTATAACACCCTCAATGTTATAACACATGCAGTGTTCTGTAACATTGTCAAACGATTTATTACATGCGATATAATTCAAAATACCTAGATAAAAACAAGATAATTAACGAATGTCTCATGCAATATATTCTCTGCTCAACTCTTTTCGATTTCATCCAAAAGGTTGTTTAATTATTTCGGTAAGGCACTAAGGTTTATAAAGATTTTGCAACACTCTGCCCGCATGTTGCAATATCAAATGAATTAACAATTACCTCAATTATATATTACAGAATATACAATTCTGTAATATATAATTGAATTAATTAAATTCCTCGTCTCTTCATGTGCATCCTTCTCGTTTCTTTATGTGCATCCTTCTCGTCTCTTCATCTGCATCCTTCTCGTCTTTCCATCTGCATCTTCCTTGTCTTTTTATCTGCATCCTCCTCGTCTTTCCCATTCTTTCATCCTCCTCGTCTTTTCCATCCATCCCTCTCTTCCTCATCCATCCCTTCCTTCCACCCTTCCTCCCTCATCTTCCTTCCATCCTCATCCATCCATCCCCCTCTCCATCCATCCCTCCTGTCTCTTCATCTTTCCTCCTCCTTTTTCTCTTTATCTGCATCCTCATCCTCTTCATCCATCTGCATCCCTCCTTTTCTCTTCATCTGCATCCTCATCTCTTCATCCTGCATCCTTCTTGTCTCTCCGTCAGCATCCTCCTCTACTTTTCATCAGCCTCCTCCTCATCTAAACGAAAAATCTAAAAACAAGTTAAGATAAGGACAGGAAAAATAATAACGTACTCCTCTATCTTCTTCCTGATCTTCATCTCTTGTACCTAAAAAAAGACTGAAGAAGGAGTTATTTGTTTAATGGAAACAAACAATTGTTTAGCACATACCACTGCCGGAGTTCGCGTTCTTTCACTGTCCGTACGCTCGACACTGTACATGACTGAACATGTATGTTAAGTGAACAACTCTTTGAAGATTATAAGACTCGCGGAAAGCTTATCGTTTCAACCGTGCATTGTGCTGTAACACCCCTCAATGTTATAACACATGCAGTGTTCTGTAACATTGTCAAACGATTTATTACATGCGATATAATTCAAAAATACCTAGATAAAAACAAGATAATTAACGAATGTCTCATGCAATATATTCTCTGCTCGATTTCATTGAAAAGGTTGTTTAATTATTACGGTAAGGTACGAAGGTTTATAAAACATCATCGCATTTGAAGATTGAGCAACATTTTGCCCCATGTTGCAATATCTTGTATACTCTATAATATATATTTGAGGTAATTCATTTGAACGTTTCTCAAGTGAATTACCCACTTTTATCTCACCTACTATAACATCACTTGATGCTACAGTAGTTCCTCTCAGGAGCAGGGACGGATTAACCAAAGGAAGCTGTCTAGAAGCCTCCACAAACAAGGGCCTTCACATTATTCAAAGGAAGAATAAACATAGTTGCTTTAAAGACGAAGGAAAAGCATTTAGTTTATTTGTTGGATCAATTTCAGGTGATGAAGAACAGACCACGTATGACAACGAATCACAGTAAACTCAGCCATTTTGCTCTGATGAGCATTGAGGACAATATTCTAACAGAAATAAACTTGGAAGAGCTTATCAAAGACTGCCAGAATAAAATCGCAATAACTACTTTATCTCAAGTAGCAGCATTCACTCGTCGTATGCAACCGCTTTACACGCTATATTCGAAGTTTATACTTTTATCAAATGCTTTACGAAATTTGAAAGTAAATTTTACTGTTGAAAAATGAGCAGCACATTGCGTTTAGAGTAAGGGAAAGGGGATCTTTACTACGTATTTTGCTGCTCAGAGCCTCCACACATCTTAATCCGGCCCTGCTCGGGAGACATAAAATATTATATCCTTTTGTCACAAAGACAAAGGATTGAACTACTATTTCTAACAATGGCCAGTTGTTAGAAATAGGCAAAATGCAAAATCATCACACTTATGTGAATGATAACGATGAATGCAAAAATGAAAATATTTTCTGGACATGTATTGAAGAGGTCCAATAATTGATGTCAAGAATAGTGGGAAACTTTTGGCAGTTTCGTTCGTGTTCTCACTTCAATATGTAACTGAAACTTGACGGCATTTTGTGCTCCAAGATCGAAACATAGAAATACTAAGAAACCAAAGAAATCGATCATTCCTTCGAACAAATAGGACTCATAACGATGCTTTGAATATGCTGTAACGAGAATTCACATCACAATTGGGTTATACATTTTAATTCATCGATCTCAAACTTACATCTTTATGTCATC